ATATAAATTATTTCAATACAAAAATTTTCATTTTAAACATTGATTGAATGTAAGTATTAACCATATATGGATGAATATTGAGATCTGCAAAAGTGATCTTTGTAAAAACTGGTTCATCTACAGGTTTTACAAGTCTCTGCCCTATGGTTGGTACATCAGGATTATTGCCAAATAAAGAAGAGATTTTTCCACCTGCTTTGTGCATTAGTTTTGGAGTTTTGTCTGATTTCCTATTATTATTTACAATTTTCCCTTTACGTTTCTTTTCATCTCTTTTATTCAAGATATTTATCCTCTCCGTTACTTTCAAAGTAGGAGATTCCTCAGTTACTATTTCAGATTTTTTATTTAATTTACTATCTTTATCAATGTCATGTGACACATTTAACTCAATTTTATTTGATTCATTCTTCAATCGACCTGAGAATATATTGGAAAGTGATTTTTTCTGTTCAATTGAAATATTTCTCTTTTTCGCCAACAGTGTCTCACCGATATGTTGTTTTGTTATCTTTGTAAAGGATACAGTTTGTTTGTTTGTAATATCAGAATTTGCTATAGACAAAACTTTATTAGATTTATCAGATTGTTTAATCTTTCCTGACTCTGGTTGGGCCTTCGCCGTTATATCTTTAACACGAGGTACAATTTGAGACTGCGCATTTTGATTGACTGCGTTGGCTTCTTTCAATTTTTTGGCGAAGATAGTCGATAATGATTTCTGTCTAATTCTTTTCTTAGATTCTATTTTTTGTGTATTTACATTTTTTGACTCATTATTCACAGCTATACCTTTTTTGCCTAAGGATTGATTTTTCAATCTCTTAATCGAGGTTTTCAAAGACTCGGTCCTTCTCTGTTTATTCTGAGTAGACACAAACATTTATGAAAAATTAATTTACCGTTTTCTTTTTATGTATTTACTTAGTTACTATGAACTGATGACATAAAATTTGTAATATTTCTGCACACATGTTTCATACACACGTGCACGTGTTTACAGATTTCCTAACCTAATCTAACTTATAATCGAATACTTACAGTTCTCGCTGAGAAAACTGGATCCGCCGTTACATTTAAAGAAATATCCATGTCTGAAATTGTCATTATACATATAAACTAGCTCCTCTTTAGCACTTTTTGTTTACAACGGGTAATGATATGTGCAAAACGTAATGTATTTCAGAAACACTCGTCAACATCATGCACGCAAGCACGTTGCAGAACATGTGCCAAACTGCGCGCATGCGCACATTTCAAAACGAATTGATTTCGAGATTCTATGCTACATGCGTGCATATGTTCTGTGTTTGCTTAATATATATTTTTTAATTTTGTTAATTTTATTGTTGGTAATTACATATTTGATGAAATATGACGGGCGTGGTGGCGGATTCTTTGCTGACTTATTTAAAGATATTAATTAATATATATATATTACAAACAAGAATAATTATAATTCCTAAAAATTTACCTTCTTGGAAAAAGGTAAAAAAAGGCCGCCAAGTATATTCGCCAGTTGTAAAAAACTGTATTTGTGTATGTGTATTTGATCAATTTAATGGTACATAGAACTCATTATCTCAAAAGACCCATACAGCACAGATCATTGCGATTATATTGCAGCAACATTGCAATGTTGCAAATTGCAATGCAACATTACAAAGACATTGCAGAAATATAGAGCCACAAAGTACCAGCACATTCAACTAATCATTGCATCAGGTGAATTAGCCTCTTAGGCCTCTTAGGTAATCGGCAGTATTTGTATAAAATAAAAATTTTATAACATTTTATTGCAAAATCTAAACAATATTTAATAATATCAAAATGAGTGTGAACGCGTTATTCTTACATATAAGTTTTCTCAAATACCGCAAGTTGTTAGTTTGATCCGATTATTATAATCTTTTTAAATGTACATTATATTATTTTTACGGAAATTTTTAACAATTAAATAAACAACAAAAACAAAAAAGACTTTTGTAATGTGTATTAAAGGATCATCAGAAAAACAATAAGTTGTAAAAAATCAAGCTTAATTAAACGACCAAGGACATCACGTCAAGAAACGATGTTTATTACTATATTATTATTATCCATGTTTATTTTATTGGTATATTATTATTATGTACATTATGGAAGAAACGGGCGACTCCTTAATCTTTTACCGGGACCAGTGGGCGATCCGATTATTGACAATGCATTTCAATTTCATGTTTCAGCAGGCAAGTATAAAATTTCTAATCTATTTACATTAATTGACACACGATCCGTTATTCATGCACACAAATAAGCAAAAAAGTTAAATTCATAAAACCATGTGTTCTAGAACGTATATCTAACAAAAGTATCCGCATACAGATTACATACCTTATCTCTTCTCTTAGCAATATCCATTTACAAATCATTATCATAATTATTATTTGTCTATTTTCAACGTATTTGAATAAAGATGTAATAAAATAATAATAACATTAATCCCACCAAAATTTTTGTATCGATATTTATAATATATTTTTCAGAGGAACAATGGAAACTGATATATAGTTTATCTGATAAGTATTATCCCATTTTAAAATTCTGGATTTTTTTCACGTGTTGTGTGGCTATCCGTCATCCAAATGATCTAGAGAAATAAAAGAAATAAAAGAAATTCGATTATCTGTAGATATTACAATTTAGTCAGATTTAGGAATCTTGCGCTTTCACAAAAAGATTTTTGCTTGTAAAAAAAGATTCCTTAAAAAGATGAATAGAGAAAACATCGATATATACTCGATCGAAACTAAATAGAAAAAACGATGGGCAAAATAAATCAATTTTTGCCTAAAAAGTGTAACGTAAGTTATACATATAATCTTACGTTTTTGGGGTCGCTGAATACGATGGTAGCAATTTTATCCGTCTAAACCCGTTGGAAAGTGGTCAGAATTTGCCTTTAAGAAACAAATTTGTAACTAGCAACTACATAATTTTTCTTAAAAACAACTATGTGTTTTTTTTACACCAATTGATTCTTCTCATTATTTTGTGCATAAAAATATTGAGGTAAGTTCATCGAAAAATTAATACTCTACAAGATATTTCCTAGTTTATGTAAAATTATATCAAATTAAAGTATAAAATATCTCGTAAATTATTCACTTTTTAGCCATTCTGCTCTTATAACTTTTATGCCGAATATTGCGAGAAATCGAATAGTATAAAAAAATAATTGTTTTTAAGAAAAAGTATGTAATTATTTACAATATTTACAGTATTATTTTAAACAATTATTTGTTTTTTTTTAAACACTAATTGATTTGTCTCATTATTCGGTACATAAAAGTATTACGGTAAGATTATTGAAAACTAAATATTTTACAAGATATTTTATTTTTTATATCAAAATATGTCAGAATAAAGTATAAAATAACTCAAAAAGTACTTAATAAAAAAATATTATACTTTAATATAGTGTTTTAAAAAGCTCTCGAGATAAGCTACAAGAATATGCAATGAAAAATAAAAGGTTCCATTAAAAAAAACAAAGTTGAACTTCATATGACCATGGCACGTTCACTCAAGATCAAAGCAATAGTACTATCTTATGCCCCCCTTGGAACCCTACAACTTTTGTCTGAAACATTTTTTGATATCTCAATTCGTTTCCAAAAAATATGCCCGCGTCACTATAAATGTCCCACCCTGTATAACTTGTTTCAACCTTGGGGCGGCACAGGTCTTTTCACCAGCACAGGTAACATAATGGCATTAATATATAAGCGTACATACTTTACTATTACAATATGTGTTTGTTTTGTCTCCATCACAGAAGATCAAATAAAATGTTACATGATTAGACTTGAATATTATTTTTAAGCTCTTACATAATTTCTTTTTGTCCTAAAAAGTAATAAATTTGAAAGAAATTCGTAAGTGAAATTATATTGAGAAATGATTCCGCCGTGATATATGTATTCTTAAGTAAATAGAAGTAATAGATGTTTCAAGTAAAGAAGATTTTCAATTAAATCAAACACCATCACATAACAGACTTCTTAATAAATTATAGTTTCTTTTTGGCTGCCAATTTATGAAGTTTTAATTACAAAATAATAATTAAATTCAAATTTGTACTTGTAACTTCTCTTATCGCAAAAATTTTATAAGAAGGTTTAAAAAATTATAAAAGAATTTTGCGCGATATAAGAGAAATAAATTTAAGATAATAATATTATTTGAGAATTACTCAATAAATATTAAACTAAAAAAGAGAATAATCTTATATAATATTATTTTAGTTTTAGAAGATTCTAAATATCTTTTTTGTAACATACATAGTTTTAAATTTATCTTTTTATCTATATTCTTTGCAATTAATGAGATTACTTAAAGATTACTATAAGATTTTATAGCGACTTAAATAAGACTTTAAATAAGGCTTTTACAAAATTTCGTCATTATTGAAATTATATAGTTTTGTTGAATTATGGTTTAGAGCATTCAGGCCTTGGTTCTATAACGATTTGTTGTTCTCATTATCGCCGCAAGGGAGAAAGCAGAAAAACATCTTGAAAATATTGCATGGATTTACGAAAAAGTATGTCATGAATCATATTATTTTTTAAATCTGCCACACAAACGTTATCTTTTATATAAAATTACAATAAATATTAATAATACATTATGCTATTAATATTTATGATATAATATAATACGATATGTGCTATTGTTATGTAATAGACAAAATCATTTTAAAAATTTAATATCATATTTGTGCGTAGGTCATCGCGGAACGAAAACTTTATCACGAACGCACCAATGGTCGATATTTGAAAAATCTTGAAAATGACAAAGAGACAGAGATAGATGTCGAAGTATTTGGAAGTACGTAAGAGATCAGAGCTAATATTTAAGTTTGATTACGCAATCGAACATTAAATTATGCCTGTAATATTTATACTAAACACATAATCACACGTAATAATGCAACGTAAACTAACGTGTTTTTTTATTTCTAATTAAAAAAAAAAGCGGCTAGCCATGTTGGATCTCTTAATAGCGGCATTTCGAGACAATTTGTTGACTGATTTGGACATCAGAGAAGAAGTCAATTTATGTTTGCGGTATGTATCTGAATCTTTTTTTCTAATTTTTTGTACATATCATCTAAGCACATTTAACTGTATGACGATATGACGATGATTACAGGGTCACGATACTACAGCGATGAGTATGACCTTTGCTTTATTACTATTAGCTAAACACAAAGATATCCAGGTACCCTTTTCTCAGTATATTGCGATATACACTACCCAAAAAAAAAAAATGGAGGACCCTTTTCATACCCTAAAAATTGGGCTATTTTCAAACCGCTGAAACTCGACGAAAAATCATCGTAGACAAAAAATTAAAAAAAACATTTTGAAGCTTAAAATTTCAACTTTAACTATTGTCGGTTTTAAAAAATTTTTTTATCTTCCTTGTTCTGTGCTTTAGAAAAGAAGCTTGATAAAAAAATTTCTCTCGAAAAATTCATCTCAAGTTCCATAAACTACAACGTTTTGCCTACAAAATGCTTTTTAAAAAATTTTCCTACGGTTTTGTTTGACCGAATTACACGATTTTTAAACTAAACCTGTATTTTTAGAAATAATGTCGATAGTTGTCAAAAAATCATTGCAGCCAAAAAAATTGAAAAAGCGTTTTTTGAAGCTTGAAGTTTCAACTGTAATGTGATATCAATAGTTTAAAAAAACTTTTTTATTTTCTCATTTCTAGATAATACAGATTTAGTTTCAAAATCGTGTAACTCAGTCAAAAAAAAATCGTAGGAAAATTTTTAAAACAACATTTTGTAGTTTATGGAACTTGATTGTGAGATGAATTCTTCGAGAAAATATTTTTTATCGAGCTGCAGAGTGTCAAAAATACATAATTTTAAGAAACAAAACAATGGGTTTCTTTTTAAAACAAGGAAGATAAAAAATTTTTTAAAACCACCGATAGGGCGTTAACTTCAAGCTTCAAAATGCTTTTTCAATTTTTTGTCTACGATGATTTTTCGTCGAGTTTTAGCGGTTTGAAAATAGCCCAATTTTTAAAGTATGAAAAGTATTCCCAATTTTTTTTTTAGTAGTGTATTATTTAAATTGCGATTTTCATTCAAAGTAAGTATAGATATCAATCTTTTGTTGTGATGTATTATATTTTGTCATTAATTAAAAATTTATTTGTATCTATGCATATGAAAACCGAAATATTATAAAATACACTTTAATTATTATCGATGAACAATCACAGGAACGTGTGAGGGTTGAAGTCGATACCGTGATGCAAGAGAACGGAAAGAAACTTACCATGAGATCGTTGCAAAATTTGCCATGTTTAGAGAGATGTTTAAAGGAATCGCTACGTTTATATCCCACTGCATTTTTTATATTACGAGACGTTAAGGAAGATGTAAAATTACGTAATTAGTCACTTTTCTGCTACATATATTTTTGAACATGTCACATTTTACAGAGTAGGGGAAAATAGGGTAAAACCGGGTAGGCGGGTCAAACCGGGTACCTCTGTTTTTTCGTGATAAGTGCTACTATCTTTGGCTAACTCGTGTTATTAGTTGTAGGTTGATGCCATCATTATTTTGAAATGAACCGTGCCCACGTGCACACGATATTTCCTTTTTGAAAGAAGTTCAAAATTTTCGGGCTAGAAAAGATCGATATCGAGGCAACAATCGAATCGTTATGGATTTTTCCTACACAGAGCATTTGTTTCGGTAAATGTAGCATTGCATTCTGTACATATTATATCGCATTAGTTTTGATCGTCACTTTGTACGCCGGAATATACAGCCGCCGTGTTTTTTATTTTCTTTGTGTTGAGGCAAAACCTACACATTTCATGTAATGAAAAGAGGAAACACTGTTATCCTGACTTTGTCTCCCTATAAAAAGCAATTGGAAACAAAAACAATCACTCAGAAAAAGAAACCACTAAAAAAAAATCTTTTTGAGACCTTCGAAATTAAAAAATTAAATAAGAAAGTCTTGCAGCAATGTAGAACAAGAAGATATCTTTATTTGTGATTTTTGTCAATAAAATACATCTTTGTATAGTATTTTAATTAAAATAAATTTAGATTTTGTAATTGCACGGTGTTTTACATGTTTTCAAATGGGTACCCGGTTTTACACTACCGGCAAGGCAAAACCAAGTATTTTGACTTCTTCAAAAAATCTTGTTATCCTCGGTAACCAAATTTTTTTTTTTCAGCGACTAGCCTCATTTTCTCATAATTTAAAGTCCACTAAAGACTACTAACAGTTAATAAAACTTTTTTTACTCTCTGATTTTTTGTAGGAAGACAAATCCAAAAAAGTACCCGGTTTTACTCTACCTTCTCCTATGTATTATCAAATGTAAAATAAGTTCAATCGCTTTAAAATTTAAGAATACAATATATATATTATGTACATATTATTTTTCAAAAATTTCTCTTTTTTAATTTCATGAATTTTTATATTTTGTAATTTTATAATACACTTTTCACAGATTTATATGTCGTACCTGCTGGAACAATCTTATATCTTAATATCTACGGAGTTCACAAAGACCCCAATTTTTGGCCAAATCCAGAAATATTTGATCCGGATAGATTTTTGCCCGAGAGGGTCCAGAATCATCATCCTTATTCTTATCTACCGTTCAGCGCAGGACCGAAGAATTGCATAGGTGAATTACTTGCGATTTTCTTTTCTTCTTGTCGATAGTTTTTGATAAAACTTTGAATTGTAGGTCAACGATTCAGTCTGTTGGAGTGTATGATTGCTTCTTTGGTGCACAATTTTTACTTGGAGCCCATAGATTATTTAAAGGACCGATCAGCCGCAAACAAACTTTCAAAACTAACAAGAATACCACACGAGTGTAAGAAATTGACGAAAATATTTTATAGAATCTTATAAAAAATGATCTTACAAAATGATCTAATATGTAATTGTATGTATATTTTACGTTAAATATATTTTACTTCTAATTAATTCTTCTATTATTTTTATGTGTAATCTTTCTTTCATATATTTTATTACTTTCGGATCTTTATATCTTTATTACATTAATTAATATTTAATATTTCAAAAATATTAAATAAAAAGAAAAAGAATTTATAGTGCTCATATCTTTCTCTGTTTCTAATAAACTCTCATTATTATTACGCTCTTTAGTTGGAAAACGGCTATGAATATAGACCTCAGATTTTTATTGTCAGTTCGTAAAAATCTGTTTTCTGGTACATGAATCTACTTGAAGAGATTTGCACTTCCATTTTAGTAGTGTTTCAGTTGATCGTTGCATCAGCGATTTTATAAGGTAATCAGCAGTATTTGTATAGAATAAAATTTTATAATATTTTAATGCCAAATCTGAATACTATGTTTAATAATATCATAATTAGTGTATGCGCGCGATTTTTACATAAGTTTTTTCAAATACCACAAGTTGTTAGCTTTTAGTTTGATATTAGTTTTTGGTTTGTTATAATCTTATTAGATGTATATTATATTATTTTTACGGAAATTTTTAACAATTAAATAAACAACAAAAACAAAGAGAGAAACGCTTTTAAGCAATCGCGATAATTATATAAATTATATATTATATAAAGACATAATATAATGGGGTAATAGTTTTGATAAGAATCAGATAAAAATTTTAAAAATTATTTTTTATTTAGGACGGAGTTTGCGAATGCTTCATTAAATAGCTCCGGCTTATTACAAAACAACTTTGTATCTTTGCATAGCAATAAAAATATATTTATAGATATATAATACTCACAAATTTGCACAGAGTTTACAGTTATGTATATACTAAATAAAATTATAACAATGTGAAAAACAACTTTTATGTTAAATGTTTGAGATAATTGATGTAAGACTAATACTCGCCATAATTATGATACTATTAATCACTGTTTAGATTTAGATAGCATTTTACAAAATTTTATCTTATACAATAAATGAACAAACAATTATACAATATACAATTATACAATAAATAAACAAACAATGGCCAATTAAAAAATTTTATTTGATTTAAAAATTTATTACGTGAATAATGTTTTGCTTTCTCATGGAGGAAGCTTTGTTTACGTAAAAAAATTTTTTTTTAGTTTTCGTTGCCAATGTGTTCAGAATGTTATAAAACGTCGGCAAAACACATTTTTTAAAAATATCCGTACGTGTGTATGTATGTGTGTATGTGCACCAAAAGGGCATGGTTGCTGTAACTTTCGCAAATTTTGAGATATCGAGCTAAATTGTTTTACATGAATAGAGTATCATTAAAGAATGGTTGGTATTGAATTTGGCTAGGAACGGTGAAGGGGTTCATTTTATATAAAATTTTGAATTTTTTGAGAAATGTCTGTGTACGCTCTAACTTCCTCAAATTTTGAGATATCGGGCTTTCTCTATGAGGAAGCCTAAATTAAAAAACCCGCTTGTTTTAGAGAGCGGAACAAAATGATGAGGAAGCAATGTGCAAGTTTCTAATTTGCACAATTTTCAGCTTGTTTTTTTTTTTATTACAATAAACAAATTCATCACATTTTTTATAGTTCTTTAAAGTTGTTAACTATAAATAATTATACAATTAACGCATTTTAATTATTGTTCTCCTTCTCTCCCTCCCTCCCTCCCTCCCTCTCCCCTCTCATCCATACAAAAAACTGCAAAATTAAACGCGTTTCCCAAAGCGGATGGAAATCGTGCGCGGCGTTCAGATCCAATTTCCGCAAATTTATCTCGAGGCAAGGATAAATGCGTTTTATTGTGCGGCGCCGCGCACGGATTTATTCACCGGAAAATATTTCTTATATATATCTGGCTTTTTAAACGGTCCTTTTATTCTCTTATATCGAAGATTGCAATGAATAAAAAAAACCATTGTTTTCTCTCTCGCATCTCCCACCCTCCCCCTCTCTCTCTCTCAATTTACGGTTAACATATTGTAATAAATCACTTAGATGTTCAATAAATCGATTATAATAATTAATTAGTCCAATGAACGCTCTTAATTCTGTGATGTTACTAGGTCTAGGCATTTTCCGTACTGCCTCAATTTTTTGTTCCTTTTTGGAAATATCATTTTTAGCAATTTCATATCCGCAATAATTAATATTGTCCTTAAAAAGTTTGCATTTATTCTTATTAATACGTAAATTGTGCTTGGACAATTGTTTAAAAACTAATTCTAAGCGTTTCATGGGTCCTTCTATGTTCTTTTCCATAACTCTTATATCATCCAAAATACCGCGATTCCTGGAATTCCATTCAAGATATTTTTTATTGTTTGTTGCCAAATCGCTGGCACTGATGCTACATCAATCAATCACTTCTGTATAATCCCCTGTGTGTGTTTAATGTTAAAATTTCTCTATTCTGTTCCATTAATGGTAATTGCAGATATGCCTGTTTTAAATCGATTTTTGAAAATATCTTTCCTCCAGTCATAGATGCAAAAAGTTCATCTATAGTGAATAAGGGGTGTTCATTCACAATTAATAATGGATTTACCGTAACACTAAAATCCCCACAAATTCGGATTTGACTATTCTTTTTCAATACCGGCACTATTCGCGTAGCCCATTTTAATGACTCTATTTTTTCCAAAATTCCAGCTTGGACTATATTTTCTAATTCGGCTTCAACTTTTTCTTTTAGTTTAAAGGGAACTGATCGACTTTTTAAAAAGATCAGCTTCGCATTCTCTATTAATTTCAAATGGGCTTCTACTTGACGCATGGATGAAAACTCCTCGCTTACAACATCGGGATACTTCTTAAATAATTGTTCTAACCTATCGCGACTGTGGATCTCGAGCGTTTTAATATTTTCAATTTCATTTAAACTAGATTTAACCTTTCCTAGAATTTTTAAGTGGTTGATCCACTCACGGCCCAACAGTGGGCTTCGGTCATAACGAACAACGTACAAGTTCAATTCGCATATGTCGTCTGTATCACGTACCCTAATCTTAACAAAACCTAACGGCGCAAAGTTTCGTTTACAATATGAGCGCAATCTCAACTGTGTTTTCTGTATCATTCCACACCAAATGTGGAAATACCACCTTCCGCAACCATTTTTTCACTAACCAGCGTGACGGCAGCTCCGCAATCTACTTCAAAGGTGACTCGCCTTTTTTCCAGACAGAGAGAGACCGTGAACTTAACCCGAAAACGTGAATGCTCCAACTCATCTAATCTATAAACCTCTTCTAAAAGTTGAGTCTGACCTTTCTTCTTGCAAATGATCTTTACCGCCGCATTCATGGCATTTAATGTGCCGAGAAAGAGTACAATCGGGCGCCAGATGATTCTGTCCACACTTGTAACAAGAAACATTATTGATTTTCGAATTTTGTGATAATTGTGCCTTGGACTTATAAGTCCCGTTAAACGAGTTTGTCTTTTTCCCATATTTGTGATTTTTCGGCTGTCCCTTCGGTTTGACCTTTTTATCCGACCTCTTCTTTGATGCTTTGGCGCCCGATCCCACAAAATCCACCACGACCGCTGAATCTTTTCAACTCGTTCACACTCTTTTCCGCCAGCTCCATCCCGCTAGCCGTCTTCAAGGCTGATTCCATCATCAGGTTTGCTGTCTGCAGTAATCGACCTTGGATCCGTTGATTTCGCAATCCGTAGACGAATTGATTTCTGAGTTCGAACTTCAAGTATTCGCCAAACTTACAGTGTAACGACAGCTTCTGTAACGCTGCCATATATTCCTGAACGCTTTCTTCCGGTAGTTGCAAACGCTTCCGAAAAACAAAAATTTCCGCTATCTCTAACGGCTCCGGGGCATAATATTCTTTCAATTTATTAAGTAAAGCGTCGTAAGACAATTGATATGGATCTTTCGGATCCACTCGATGGCAAAGGATTCCAAATGTCTCTATGCCAAGAAAATGCAGTAGATAAGCGACCTTCAGGGATAAGATCTCGCGCGCTCAGGCAAGGCGAAATAACAAGTGAAAAAAGTGCTTCTATGAATGGAGCGCCTTTTTTATGATATTATGATTATCATATAAATTTACAATAGCATTGTCATTATATGTTTTCCCGCTTCTCTACGCATCGCATTAATATATTTTTTTTTTTACGAATAATGGATGCAGGAACTAATCTTAAAAATGAATCAAGTAAAAATTTGCGACATGTTTTATATATATATATATATATATATATATATATATATCGGCTCCCCTAATGGCGATGCCCGATTTATACGTAATTTATTACTATTCTGGAAAGCGCGCTCTACTTTATATAAGAAGACGCGCGTTATTTAAAGCTGATACGTAACAGACGCATATATGCGCACATTGAATAACTCCGATAAATTTCGATGGATCTGGATAAAACTTGGTATCCTAGGTAAAATTAGGTTCTTTTTGGACGTATGGTTTCAGAGATGCGCGATATCAAAATTACGACTCCGGATTTGAAATCAGCAACCTCAAAAACGATTATACTGATTTTTGAAACGTAATCGATCTTACCAATTTTGGCACAGAAAACGGCTCAAGGGTTAACCGGTTTAACCGATTTACCTCTCAAGATATGACACTCTCATTATTAATACGCTTTTACTTTCAGCTGGAAATAAGTACAGTATAGTCTGGGTTATAAGTACAGGCCTCAGATTTTGATGGTCAGTTCGTAAAGATTTGTTTTATTGACACATGTATCTGCTTAGGCTTAAAGATATTTGCAATTCCATTTTAAACATTTGAGTAGTGTTTCAACTATTCATCGCATCAGGTGAATCTCTTAGATAATCAACAATATTTGTATAAAATAAAAATTTTATAACATTTTATTGCAAAATCTAAACAATATTTAATAATATCAAAATGAGTATGAACGCGTTATTCTTACATATAAGTTTTCTCAAATATCGCAAGTTGTTAGCTTGATCCAATTATTATAATTTTATTAAATGTATATTATATTATTTTTACGGAAACTTTTAACAATTAAATAAACAGCAAAAATAAAAAAGATTTTTGTAACGTGTATTCAAGTATCAGTAAAACAGTAAGCTGAAGAAGATCAGAAGTTTAATTAAACGGTCAAGGACATCAAGAAACGATGTTTATCACTCTATTGTTGTCATCCATGTTTATCTTATTGGTATATTATTATTACGTACAATATGGAAGAAACGGGCGACTCGTTAATCTTTTACCAGGACCACCGGGCCATCCGATTGCTGGCAATGCATTTCAAGCATATATTTCAGCAGGCAAGTATAAAATTTCTAATCTATTTACATTAATTGATAGATGACTCGTCATTCATGCATACATACAAGTAAAAATTAAATTCATAAAAATTTATGATCTGGAACGTATACCGATCAAAAATATGCAGATTACATATCTTACAAAGCTAAGGCTTTTCTCTCGGCAATATCCATTTGCAAATCATTATCATAATTATTATTTGTCTATTTTCAACGTATTTGAGTAAAGATGTAATAAAATAACAACAAAATTAATCCCACCAAAATTTTTGTATTGATATTTATAATATATTTTTCAGAGGAACAATGGAAAGTGATATATAGTTTATCTGATAAGTATTATCCCATTTTTAAATTCTGGATTTTTTTCACGTGTTGTGTGACTATCCGTCATCCAAATGATCTAGAGGTAATAAAAGAAATTCAATTATCTGTAGACATTACAATTTAGTCAGATTTAAAAATCCTGCGTTTCACAAAAAGATTTTTGTTTGTAAAAAAAGGTTCCTTAAAAAGAGGAATAGAGAAAATATCGATATATACTCGATCGAAACTAGATAGAAAAGACGATGGGTAAAATAAATCGATTTTTGCCTAAAAAGTGTAACGTAAGTTATACATATAATCTTACGTTTTTGGGGTCGCTGAATACAATGGTAGCAGTTTTATCCGTCTATACCCGTGGAAAAGTGGTCAAAATTCGACTTAAAGAAACGAATTTGTAACTAGCAGTTATATAATTTTTCTTAAAAACAATGTGTTTGTTTTTTAGACCAATTGATTTCTTTCATTATTTTGTGCATAAAAATATTGAGGTAAGTTCATCGAAAAATTAATATTCTACGAGATATTTCCTAGTTTATGTAAAATTATATCAAATTAAAGTATAAAATATCTCGTAAACTATTCACTTTTTAGCCATTCTGCCCTTATAACTTTTATGCCGAATATTGCGAAAAATTGATTAATATAAAAAAATTAGGTTTCATTAAAAAAAAATGAGGGGTCCCTCGTTTTGCCCTAACATTTTTTTTTATCCATCGAATTGTCAGCCGCCGTAACCTCAATATTTTTATGCACAAAATAATGAGAAGAATCAATTAGTGTAAAAAAACACATAATTGTTTTTAAGAAAAATTATGTAGCTGCTAGTTACAAATTCGGTTTTTTAAGGCGAATTTTGACCACTTTTTCGCGGGTTTACACGGATAAAACTGCTACCATTGTATTCAGCGACCCCAAAAAAGTAAAATAACATATTGTATATAACTTACGTTACACTTTTTAGGCAAAAATTGACTCATTTTACCCATCGTCCTTTGTGGTACGATTAATAAATTATTTGTAAGATTGAGTGATATAATAAATTAATATTTTTCTCCTAACATATTTTCGATAATCTCAGACGATATTAAGCAATACCAAGCGCACCGAGAAAAGTCGTATGTATAACTTGTTTCAACCTTGGCACGGCACAGGTCTTTTCACCAGCACAAGTAACGTAATGGCATTAATATATAAGCGTACATACTTTACGTATTACAATTTGTGTTCGATTTGTCTCCATCACAAAAAATCAAATAAAATTACAGATTAGACATTTACAGGATTAGACTTGAACATTATTTTTAACGATAAACTCTTACATAACTTCTTTTTGCCGTAAAAAATAATAAATTTGAAAGAAATTTGTAAGTAAAATTATATTGAGGGACGATTCCGCCGTAATACATGTGTTCTCAAGTAAATAAAAGTAACAGATGTTTCAACTAAAAAAGATTTTCAATTAAATCGAACACTATCACGTAACAGATTTTTTAATAAGTTATAGTTTCTTTTTGACTGCCAATTTATGAAGTTTTAATTATAAAATAATAGTTAAATTCAAGTTTGTACTTCTTTTACTGCAAAAATTTTATGAGAAGGTTGAACAAATTATAAAAGAATTTTGCGCGATAAAAGAGAAATAAATTTAAGATAATAATATTATTTGAGAATTGCTCAATAAACATTAAATTAAGAAAGAGAATAATCTTATTTTTATATAATATTATCTTTAAATATATATTATTATTTTTATTTTATTTCACAATTCGTGCTATTTTAATTTTGTTCGAGGCGCTAAGTGGCATACGCGACGAAAGTTATTAACACATGCGTTCCATTTCAATATATTAACTCAATATGCTGATATATTGATCAAGGAGGATGATTATATGACAAAATCTTTGAAAGATGTCGGGATGGCAGTTGTAAAAGATTTATTACCATTTATTAGTGAATATACGCTAAACGCCATATGCGGTAAGGTTTTTGTAAAGTTCTCATTGTCCTGTAATATGTACAGGGATTTCATTCTAAATGATATCATAGCTTAAGATATCATAGTTTAAAAAGATAATTTGTTCCCATACAAAGTATCTGCTACAGAAAAAATAGATAATATCTGATTTTTTATACTTCAAGCTACTGATGAAATATTCAATTGTAAATATCTTCGACTGTATATCCGGTCTTATATAATACATGCACTTGCAGAAACTGCCATGGGAGTTTACGACATAATGCAACTGATATATTATAGGTAGGTACATCATGTATATAATAAATAATTGTGTGATATATTTATAATCTTTTAAGTTATGATTGTGTGTGATATATATTTTCTATATATATTTTGAATAACAAATTAAATATTGAATAATCATGTAAAGGTGAACAATTAGTTCGAGACGTTGATTCGTTTAAAGCGGCAATTAAGAATCAAAATCTATTCTACGTTAAATGTTTTATTTCGAAATGAAAATTGTTTGCAATCTTTAAAATGTTGAAAATATTGTGAATGTTAGAATATTGAAATATTACGTAAACTAAGTTGTAAATTATAGTTGCAATAATATCTGAAGAAAAATTATCTTTGATTTTTGGAAAAATCTATAGTTAAAACAAAAGTATAATGTTTTTAAAAGATTCTAAATATCTTTTTTGTAATATACATAGTTTTAAATTTAATTTTTTACCTATATTTTCTATAATCAATGAGATTACATAAAGATTACAGTAAGATTTTGTAGCGACTTTAAATAAAGCTTTTACAAAATTATGTCATTATTAAAATTATATAATTTGATTGAATTATGGTTTAGAGCATTCGGACTTTGGTTCTATAACGATTTGTTGTTTTCATTATTGCCACAAGGGAGAAAGCAAAAAAAGATCTTGAAAATATTGCATGGATTTACGGAAAAAGTATGTTATGTATCATTTTATTCTAAATCCGCCACACAAACGTTATCTTTTATATAAAATTACAATAAATATTAATAATACATTATGCTTTTAATATTTATGATATAATATAATACGATGTGTGCTATTGTTATTTCATACAAAAAATCATTTAAAAAATTTAATATCGTACTTGTGTGTAGGTCATCGCAGAACGAAAACTTTATCATGAACGTACCATTGGTCGATATTTGAAAAATCTTGAAAATAACAAAGAGACAGAGATAGATGTCGAAGTATTTGGAAGTACATAAGAGATCAGAGCTAATAATTAAGTTTGATTACGCAATCAAACATTAAATTATGCCTGTAATATTTATACCAAACACATAATCACACGTAATAATGCAACATATGTCTGCTGTAAAATTAAATCATTATTATTTTTAATAGAAATTCTGAATTTTTAAACAAAAACAATGTTATATAATTAAAGCGCGACATGCAAAAATGAAATCGACGCTAACGTGTTTTTTTATTTCTAGTTAAAAAAAAAGCGGCTAGCCATGTTGGATCTCTTAATAGCGGCATCTCGAGACAATTTGTTGACTGATTTGGATATCAGAGAAGAAGTCGATACCTTTATGTTTGAGGTATGTATCTGAATATTCTTTTCTAATTTTTTGTACATATCATCTAAGCACGTTTAACTGTATGGCGATATGCATATGACGATGATTATAGGGTCACGATACTACAGCGATGAGTATGACCTTTGCTTTATTACTATTAGCTGAACACAAAGATATCCAGGTACCTTTTTCTTAGTATATTGCGATATACACGACCCCCAAAAAAATAGAAAACACTTTTCTAATCCTAAAAATTGGGCTATGTTCAAATCTTTGAAACTCGATGAAAAATCATCGTAGACAAAGAATTAAAAAAGCATTTTGAAGCTTGAAGTTACAATTTTAACGCCCTATTAGTGTTTTTTTAAAAACTTTTTTATCTTCCTTGTTCTGTGCTTCAAGAAAGAACCCATTGTTTTGTTTCTTAAAATTATGTATTTTTGACACTCTGTGGCTCAATAAAAGGATTTCTCTCAACTCAAGTTCCATAAACTACAACATTTTGGCTACAAAATGCTTTTTTTTAAATTTTCCTACGATTTTTTTTGTCTAAGTTACACGATTTTAAAACTAAACCTGTATTTTTTAGAAATGAGAAAATAAAAAGATTTTTTTAAACTGTCGATAGCACGTTACAGTTGAAATTTCAAGCTTCAAAATGCTTTTTCAACTTTTTGTCTACGATGATTTTTCGTCGAGTTTCAGCGATTTGAATATAGCCCAATTTTTAGAGTATGAAAACTATTCCCTATTTTTTTTTAGTAGTGTATTATTTAAATTGCGATTTTTATTCAAAGTAAGTATAGATATCAATCTTTTGTTGCGATGTATTTCGTCATTCATTAAAAATTTATTTGTATCTATGCATACAAAAACCGAAATATTATAAAATACACTTTAATTATTATCGAACGATCATAGGAACGTGTGAGGGTTGAAGTCGATACCATGATGCAAGAGAACGGAGGAAAACTTACCATGAGATTGTTGCAAAATTTGCCATATTTAGACAGATGTTTAAAGGAAACGCTACGTTTATATCTCAGCGTTTTTTTTATAATACGAGACGTTAAGGAGAATGTAAAACCACGTAATTAATCACTTTTTTTCTGCATATATCTTTGAATATATCACATTTTACAGAGTATATATTATCGAATATAAAATAAGTTTAATTGCTTAAATATTTAAGAATACAAATGTTCATGTTATTTCTCAAAAGAACTCTTAATTTCATGAATTTTTATATTTTATAATTTTATAATATACTTTTTACAGATTCATATGTCTGCTGGAACAATCTTATATCTTAATATCTACAAAGTTCACAGAGACTCCAAATTTTGGCCAAATCCAGAAGTATTTGATCCGGATAGATTTTTGCCCAAGAAAATACAGAATCATCATCCTTATTCTTATCTACCGTTCAGCGCAGGACCGAGAAATTGAAATCATCTACATATAAAATAATGTAAATTTTGTTGCAATTTAGTTTGCCTTTGTATAGACAATAGTCATAGTTTGATCTTTGGAAGTTTAGACTTGTCATAAAATCATGAAAACATTCATACCAATCTCTCGGACTCTCTCTTAAACCATATAATGATTTTTTTAGTAGACAAACCTTGTTCATTTCAATTTTATAACCATCTGGAGGATAAATATATACTTCGGATTTAATTTTTCCATTTAGGAATGCTGTTTGAACATCCATTTGCTCAATTTTTCAACTATTAACACAAGCAACAGATAACAAAACCTTTAAAGTGTTCATTTTTGCAACAGGTGAATAAATTTCTTCATTTTCTTGGTATGACTATTGAAAACATTTAGCTACTACTCGTGCTTTGTATTTACAATTTGACTTGATTCGATAAATCCATTTAACTTCAATAATCTTTTTATTCATTGGTGCATCAACCAACGACCATGTTTCATTATTTTCTAGACTTTCAAGTTCTTCTCTCATTGCAATTTTCCATTTTTTAGAGTCAGGTCCTTCAATAGCTTCTTCATAAGTTTCAGGTACTGTAGCATTGGTGTAGTTTACATAAACGACATGATCATTATACCTTTTTGGTAGTTTTATTTCTCGTTTCTGACGTGTTGACTTTTTCACCTCCTTAGTCCCAACTATTTCTTCCTCTTTTTGATCAGTTTTATTTTCTTCTTCTTGGTTATTTTTATTTGAACTTTCGTCTCTCACATCTTCTTGAGGATCTTCTGGGCATTCATCTCCTCTGAATTTGATATATCTTGTGTTTTTCTCAATAAATTGTACATGACGAATAATAATTATTTTATTATCAACCAATATCTTATATCCAGTATCAGTATAACCAATTAGGATACCTTTCACAGCCTTACATTGTAATTTTGACGTTCTGCACTCTTCAGGGATCCTTGCAAAAGCGGTACTTCCATATATATGTAAATTTGATACATTTGGTTTCTTATTGAAAAATATTTCAAATGGTGTTTTGTTAATTTTTGTATTAATTAACAGTCTATTTCCAATATATGCAGCTGTATAAATGCACTCTGGCCAATATTTTTTGTTAATTTTAGCTTCTGATAGCAGGCAACGAGCACGATCAAGAATTGCCCTATTGTATTTTTCTGCAACACCGTTAAGTTCATGTGTATATAATGATCCAGACTTCAAATATATACCTTCTCGTTTTGCAAAATTATAAAAATCTTTATTCATATATTCACGTCCATTGTCACAACGTATTTCTTTAACTCTTTTTTCAGTTTGATTTTGCATTAAATTTATATATTTAATGAAGCAATCAAAAACTTCACTTTAATGTTTTATGCAGTACACAACAGCAATTTTACTATAATCATCTATAAAGGTTACGAAATACTTTTCACCTTTCTATCCGGTTTGAGTAACTGGTCCATGTACATCTGTATAGATTATTTCTAGAATGTCATTTGCTCTGTTTCGATTATTTTTAAATTTTAAATTTGTCATTTTGTTTTCCAAACACGTTTCGCACTTTAAAAATTCGTCTTCAATCCTTTTAGGAAGTCCATCAAGTAACTGTAATTCACACAGATATTTTAAATCACGAAAATTTGTATGGCCAAGTATTTTATGCCATCTTTCTTTATTTGACATCTCTATAGAGCTTGTATATGATATGGTTTCAATATTTTCATCATTTATAATTTTTTCATTTAATGCATAAAGTTTCTTTTTCTTTTCACCAATAGCAATTAGTTCTTTTCTTTTATTATAAATTTTTGCATTATTGTTTTCAAATATAACTCTATTCTTTTGACCAACAATAGCCGAAATGCTTAATAAATTTTGTTTCATTTTTGGCACATAATAAACGTCTTTTATTTCGGTTTCAATTTGTTTATCAGCAACGTTAAAAAAAATAGTAATATTTCCAATTTTATCGGATTTTAGTGAGAAGCCATCACCCACTTTAATATCCACAGGAGTTTCCAACTTTACAGACGTCGAGAAATATTTATCAGAGTTCACAATATGATCTGAGCAACCACTATCCAATAACCATGTAACTTCTTCAACCAACATGTTTTTTTCGTTTGACTTTTTAGCCGTTGTCATAACTTCGATATTAAAAGTATTTCTTTCACCTTCGTCATTTACAACTGAATTTCCAGCGATTCTCATTGAATTACTTCTGTTGGAATTTTGATATCTTGAATTGCTCGGTTGATTATTGTTGAAGTTTCTTGAATTAAAATGTTTGTTATTTTGTTGTTGATTAAAATTCTTACCCTTTTTGGCATTTGGGAATTAAACGCTTAAAGATTATTTTTTATGTTACCATTGCTACCTTCACGTTTTTAAAATTCTAATGTTAGTTTGGATTTTACGTACACGTACTCTGATTTGTCTTTATCTGGTAAAGCATCAACTACATCAACTATATGTGACATACTCTCAGGAAGCGTCAACAATAGATAGTTTAGTTTATCATCATTGCTCACAGTTTCACCAGCATTTTTTAGTTCATTCACCAGTTTTTCAAAGTCATTAAAAAACTCGGCTGGATTTTCAGTTTCTTTCATCCTTAATTCCAGTAGTTTTCTTTTACACAATAGTTTGACTGCACTGTTTTTAACTAAATAAATTTCATCAAGTTTGTCAATCATTTTTTTTTGCAGTCGTTTCTGAAATTATTAATTCTAATTGTGTATTTGTGATACTGTTAACAATGTAGTTTTTGGCTTTAATTTCTTTCTTATTCCAAACTGCCTCCGTAATAGTTTGTGATCTTTCATTGTTTTTAAATACTTCATCGCATTCTTTCATTTCGAGAAATAGTTTTAATCTAAATTTCTATTTATCATAAGTTGTGCCCTCAAACATTTGTAACATAAAATCTTCCTTTTTTCAGTTCCCATACTTTGCTCTAGATACTTCTTTGAGGTTACTTTTCACGACTAACAAATTTTACTTTAAATTTCTTTAATTTTATAAACCACGGATTGGTAGTTTTCTTTTACACAATAGTTTGACTGCACTATTTTTAACTAAATAAATTTCATCAAGTTTGTCAATCATTTTTTTTGCAGTCGTTTCTGAAATTATTAATTCTAATTGTGTATTTGTGATACTGTTAACAATGTAGTTTTTGGCTTTAATTTCTTTCTTATTCCAAACTGCCTCCGTAATAGTTTGTGATCTTTCATTGTTTTTAAATACTTCATCGCATTCTTTCATTTCGAGAAATAGTTTTAATCTAAATTTCTATTTATCATAAGTTGTGCCCTCAAACATTTGTAACATAAAATCTTCCTTTTTTCAGTTCCCATACTTTGCTCTAGATACTTCTTTGAGGTTACTTTTCACGACTAACAAATTTTACTTTAAATTTCTTTAATTTTATAAACCACGGATTGCTACCATGTTAAAATACTTGTTGTTTTATTTAAAATCAATATACTCTCTTATTTCAATACTTTACAAACAATATTTATTATTTCTTATTAACTCTATTGATTACAATGATAGTTCTTTCTTATATACTTATACTGTACTTTGCATTCAGACAGTAGTGCAACTTGGCAAGAAAATAAAAAATCATATTCCTAACAATTATATAATAATATAATATAATGGGATAATAATTTTGATAAGAATCAGATAAAAATTTTAAAAATTGTTCTTTATTTAGGACGGAGTTTGTGAATGCTTCATTAAATAGCTCTGGCTTATTACAAAGCAACTTTGTATATTTGCATAGCAATAAAAATATATTTATAGATACATAATACTCACAAATTTGCACAAAATTTACAGTTATGTATATACTAAATAAAATTATAATAATGTGAAAAACAACTTTTATGTTAAATGTTTGAGATAATTGATGTAAGAATAATACTCGCCATAATTATAATACTATTAATCACTGTTTAGATTTAGATAGAATCTTACAAAATTTATCTTATACAATAAATGAACAAACAATTATACAATATACAATTATAAAATAAATAAATAAACAATGGCCAATTAAAAAATTTTATATGATTCAGAAATTTATTACTTAAATAATGTTTTTTTTTATTACAATAGACAAATTCATTATATTTTTTATAGCTCTTTAAAGTTGTTAACTATAAAAATTATACAATTAACGCATTTTAATTACCCAGATAGCAAAATTTGTGCATTCTGAGCTTATATTTTACTCATATTTCTTACAATCATGATAACAAAAATAGGTACATGTCATATAATATAACATTTGTTACATCATAGTTATATTCTATATACATAGAATTGATTTATATAGAATTGCTCATAGAGTTGGTAATTAAATAAATAACATAATTTATATGTATTTAACTTATAAAACTCGGAATATAATTTATATATAAATTCTAATTTTTGCTTTAAATAAGTAGTAACTGCATTATTTTTCATTTATCTGCCTAAACATTACTATTGTAATATTGCAAAATAATATTTTCTAATATCACACAGATAACTTGCGTTATATTCTTTGTTACTTGTACGTTATATTATTGCAATAAAACATGCTCCTGATAATCTAAGGTACTCTCAACTGTTCGACTCGTATATAGATACAGGGGAATATAGATATAGGGGAATATATACAGAATATTTTAGAGCAAAATCGCACAACAAACTTTGTCACATATTCGTGTGGTCATTCTAATTACAAGCAAACAAAATTCTCGCGCCGAATCACGCGTAGCAACAGCGAGGCACTCCACGTATCTATATGCGAGTCAAACAGTTGAGAGTACCTTAGATTATCAGGAGCATGTTTTATTGCAATAATATAACGTACAAGTAACAAAGAATATAACGCAAGTTATCTGTGTGATATTAGAAAATATTATTTTGCAATATTACAATAGTAATGTTTAGGCAGATAAATGAAAAATAATGCAGTTACTACGTATTTAAAGCAAAAATTAGAATTTATATATAAATTTGTCTTCCTACAAAAAGTCTGAAAAAAAAAATTTTGTTAACCGTTAGTAGTCTTTAATGAACCTTAAACTATGAGAAAATAAGGCTAATTGCTGAAAAAAAAATTTTTGATTACTAAGAATAACAAGATTTTGTGGAGAAGTCAAAGTACCCGGTTTTGTCCTACCAGTAGGGTGAAACCGAGTACCCATTTAAAAATATGCAAAACACTGTGTAATTACAAAATCTATATTTATTTTAATCAAAATACAATATAAAGATGTATTCTATTAACAAAAATCACAAATAAAGATACCCTCTTGTTCGACATTGCTGCAGAATTTCCTTATTTAACTTTTTAACTTTAGAGGTCTCAAAAAGTTTTTTTTTAATGGTTTCTTTTTCTGAGTGTTAGTTTTCGTTTCCAACTGCTTTTTGTAGGGAGACAAAGTCAGGATAACAGTTTTTCCTCTTTTCATTACATGAGATGTGTAAGTACCCGGTTTTGCCACAACACAAGGAAAGTAACAAATACAGCGGTTATATATTCTAGCGTACAAAATGCCAATCAAAACTAATATGATACACTCTCTAATATGTACAGAATGCAATGCTGCACTTACCGAAACAGATGCTCTATATAGAAAAAGTGCACGACGACTCGATTCTTGCCTCGATATCGATCTTTTTTGAGCTAAAAACTTTGAATTTCTATTAAAAAAGGAATATTGCGTGCACCGGAGCACGGTTTGTTTTAAAATAATAATGGCGCAAATCTACAACTAATAACACAAGTTACCCAGTAAGCAATTTGATAACAAATTGTGTCCAAATTGGCATCAAATTCGCTCAAAACTTGGTAACAAATCCAGTGCCATCTGTGTCCGCATTAAGCTTGTGTTTTGGTGACAAAGCTTGCTGACATAACCTGACAGCAAATTGACGGCAAAAACCGAACAAAGCTTGACATGATTTGACGTCAAATTGGTAACAAAAATCGAGCAAGATCTGCGCAAGACAATCTGACACCAGATTGTCAGCAAAATTCGAACAAATTCTGCAGCTTTTAGCCATTCATATAAAATAGTATATTTAAATGGATTTAAAGTCTCAACCCTAAGTAACAAAATGATGATAAGTTTTGGTCATAAAATGATCATTAGATAATCAGACATTATATAAAATCATATATTAATGTGTTAAAACATATAGATAAATTTAAATAATTTAATTTATAAAATTAAAGATCTTTTTGGACAGAAATTGTTCGAATAAGTGAAAATCGAACAATTATCTGTCCGATTTGCCAAAAATCAGTTCAATATCTGAATTTCCTGTATAAGAATTGTGTCAAAAATTGAACTGATAGAAATATATATATTATAATATTATTAGCGTTTTGCAGGCTTTATATACACTCATGACAAGAATTTGAATACGGGTATAGATAATGAATAACGCGCCGCATAGCGATAAGCGACGGAACTATTTTATAATACTTTGTAATAAGCTGCAGATTCTGTTCGGTTTTCGCTGCCAATTTGCCATCAGATTGCGCACTCCAGACCTTGCTCAGTTTTTGCTGACAATCTGATGTCAGTCATGTCAGCAAGCTTTGCTCGGTTTCTGCCGCCAATTTGCTGTCTAGTTATGTTAGCAAACTTTGCTTGGTTCTTGCCGGCAATCTGCCAGCTTAATCGGTAATAACAACTCTTGCACCAAATTTGTAGCCTTTTTGCTGACAATAATTTGTAGCAAGCACTTGGCAATATCTGTTAGAACAGACGTGGCTGACTGGGTAGCCATAGATAGCAGCATTTATTACGAAAAAACAGGGTACCCGGTTTGACCCGCCTACTCGGTTTTATCCAACTTTGCCCCATACTATAGATCGATTTGGCTTCCGTTGTCGAAATATGAGTTGAAATGGTGATTTACAATAATAATAGAATTATAAACTAAAAGTTTCCATTACATATACATGTAACTGAATGAAAACTTTTATCGTGTGATACCATGAGAGAGTAAAGTTGATGACGTAACTAAGACTAAAGATTTATTCTTTGCAGCTGAATAACTTCCTGCATTAGTGTAAAAATAAAATTAATAAAAATTCATAAAAGAAACTAAAAATGAAATAGATATGCTTATTTCGATCACATAATGGAAATTGATAATTTCCATAAAAAAAAGTCCATATATATAAATTTATATATAATTATATTTTTATAACAAAAAAATTAATATCCAATTAGAATCTGTTTATAACAGAACATAGTTCGATACTCTGTATAAAACGTCCCTATTGAAAGTGCACTTGCGCGCGCGAGAAGGCGCTGACATACTTGATTATCATTATTTATGACGGTAAATCATTAACGCGTCTTTGAAGCATCCAAGGCGACATCGGCCGCCGTGATAATCGAATGGGACTCCGTCAAAACATCAGAGACCTTTGTGACTTAACAACAGTCACATGTACACCGGAACACAGTGCTCGTCAATAAAAGCAAAGTTTGACAATTATCGACGTAATCCGGGATAAGCAGGATGAATTTCGATGATCGTGCGTGTTTACTTCCGATCAGCCGTGTTTACACTTTTTACGCTGTATCACGTGCAAGTGTTGTCTGACAAGGTAACGCGAAGAGTGCCATCAACAGCGCCAGATGGGATCGGGCATTTCGTGTCCGTAAAGCAACGTGATCGGACGAGAGAAATTTTAAAAAGTTCGCCATGGTCGCTCGTAGAACCTGCTGCATTGATGTGTCATTAGCGGCGAGGATAATCGGGGCGTATACGATAGTGAGTGGAATTTTCCAAAATATTAACGATGAATGTCGGTCTTAAATATTCGGACATATATCATTTCAAGTTTGATTTTTTCTTTAATGAAAGAACTATTATTTGACGATAAAAACGAGTTTTTTGTTATTTCTCGAAATTAAGTACATCGATTTATATGTATTAAATCAATTATTCCCTCCTCTTTATCCCTTGAAAAATAAATAAAATCTACAACGATGAATTTCGTTCTTGAATATTCGGACATTTATCCATATATTACTTCAAATCTGATTTTTTAAAAACTATTATTTTATGATAAAAACAACTTTTGATATTTCTCAAAATTAAGTACATCGTTTTATATCTTAAATCAATCTCTCCTTCCCTTGCAAAATAAACAAAATCTATTTATTTATCGGTACTAGTTTGAATATTTAAATACAAAAGCGCATTATATTATTTTTGGAAATTTATATTTCTCGTTGCCACGCTGTCAACTTTTCGTTTATTTGTCTCTCTACCGTTAGTCCACTTCGGTTCTAATGATAAACGTATTGGTAAGCAACTTTTTCTCGAAGAGTGAGGATGAAGATTTTTTCAAAGTCGCCAAGAACTGGGCAATACTGGGATTAAATTGGATGCAAGCTTTCAGATACATGCATCTGCAGAACAAAGGTAAGAGAGCGCGAAAATGCTTGAATTACTCTTCCGCGAACGATAACGTAAAGTAACGTAAAGTACGTTTTCAGTGCAAGCAGCCATGATGTGTTTCTTAACATACATTAGTCTATTTCTGCTGGCCGGTGCGTATCTCGCCTTGGGATCGATTACAGTAAGCATTTTTTTCGAAATGTCATAGATTTCTAATTAACTGTTTAATTACTTGGTGAGAGTTTAAATTGACACTTCATATGGGAAAGGAAAGCTATCTAACTCTCGTGACGTCATTCCAACGATCGAGCAAACGATTGAGTAAGAGAAAAGAAAGACAGAAAAAGCCTAATCATATATAGAGATATCTTTTCTTTAATTTCGAACCTATCGCTATAAACTATTAGAATTCTCTATAAATTTCCTGACTAATAATATGTAAAAAAATCTTTGGTTATTTTTAAACTTTAAAGAAATATTTAGTAGAATAAAGGAATTATTTGCATACATTGTTCACAAATGAAATTTATATGTACATAATTACATGTCTGTGTTATATATTCTATCTTTTTTCCACATCCCTTTTCTTTAATTTCGAACGTAGGGCTATAAACTATTAGTTCTCAATGAATAATACTCTGTAAAAAAACTTTGATCTTTTTTTTAATTAAAAAAAATTAAAGGTATTTAATTTTAAATTAATTTTAAAAAAAAAATTTGACAGTAAAGTAAGAAACTCTTTTTGCACACATTGTTTACAAAAACAGATTTTTTTATTATTTCTCTTTCGTGGTGAAGGTCGCAAGTAGCGACGTCGTCGATCGAATACAAATTTATTAAACGCTCTTTATCCGCAAGATATATTTTGGGCACGTAACAGCCTTGTCTCAAGCGCGCTAACGACTACGCTAACTTCCGCATACGTTCACAGAGGAGATTTAAGTACGCCGTGCCTTGGATGTATTTGCAAATAATTAGCATAACAGATCAGACCATGGCGCTATCTGATCATATAATACAGGAGCCACAAAACGCTACTTTAGCTAGATCCGTGACATACAGCATCTATTTAAGTAAGTATAAATATAAATTTCTAATTCTCTTCTCTACAATCGTGAAAAAATTCAAGCTATAAAATTTTGATTGCCAACACTGTTGAAAAATTTGTATTTTCTTAAAAATATTAAATAAAGGAAAGTATTTTTACAAAAGTATTTTTATGAAAAAAAATTGTACGCTTGACAATAATTTCAGTTTTAAGCATCTATTTGTGGATGATCGTGCATGCTGCCCGAAAACAATGGTACGAGGAGCAACAAAATCACGTGGAATGCGAACCGAGAGTGTCGGATCCTCTACCAGCATTACCCACAAACGGCAGCGGCTCGAAGTCACCGTCCTTTCTCTCGCAAAACTTTTCCATGTTCAAATCATCGCGACCGCCGACTATTCTGCCCAAATAACAAAGTGGAAAAGTCCACGAAGAACTGTGGATAATTCTTAAAGGATTCTGACATAATCGGACGAAGGGAGCCATTGTCAGAACTTATAGGATCGAGGAGAATGATTTAAAGAACCAATGTGTGAAATGGAGAAGCCAAGAGATTTTCTTCTTAAAAAATATCCCGTTATTCGACGTTTTTTTAACATTATCACTCAAAACTACGCTATTTATATATATTTATTTTATAGACATAAAGATCGACGATTGATAAATTACGCAGCTAGCAAGTGCACATGATTTTGGCATCAAATGACGTGCATTTACTACCTGGATATTCATCTGTCACGCATATGCTCAAAACTTTGATGGAATTTTTTCTACGAAATTCATAGAACCATCGACAAAATTTATTTAACATTATTGCATGACACATAGTAGCTCCATTATACATGATAATGTTTGCTATGACGACTATTGACAAGATACAATTTTATCAAAGACATAGATAAATAGAATTAAATTCAAATTTAATTAAATCAATGTTTAATGCGAGTTCTAGAGATAAGACACGTAAACATTTTTTAATACAAGAAATATATGAAACGGATTTGTGTTGATTTTAATGTATCTATTCGAAAGCTACACAAGATATATTTGAGAACTTATTGTTAGTCGACGGGCTATTCATTGATCCCTTTTACCTAATGGAATATTCGCGAGCTATTAAACTTCGCTAGTCGGCGAGTCAGGAATGAGGGAGACGTATAATAATGCAGAGAGTAAAACTTCACATAAATCAGTCGGGAGATGCGACTAATAGAGTGTATCAAACGCGCCCTCGGCGGAGCGTGCGCTTGCATAGAAAATATGAGAAACGGCCGCGTTTTACGTCAAAATACTTTTAAATTTCCTGGATTTTGATCGCACGCAAGCATATTCGCTATACAGGGTCGATCGTCTCTTCGGGATGGAAGTCGATTTGTCCGAGAATAGCTCCAACTTTTCAGCAATATTCTCAAGAATAGTGATCGAGCGTACAATATATGACGAAGAGGAAGATTCTCAATACAATTTATAGTAAATGCTTTGTCGTATCGATTTTGTGTAATATATTCATATTTATGCAGAGACACATATACTTAAATAATGATACATGAGCTATTATATATTGGCAATATTTCATTCGATTCAGTATTTTGTTATTTCAAGAATAAGTATAGAATGATAAAGAAAACTTTCCAACTTTGTATATTGAATATTTAAGTATCTCTTTAATTTTCTAAGTTTATATTTATGTTTTCATATATAAAAATTAATTTTTATAATTCTAACAAGTCTCTTTTTCTATTTTTATACTCAAGCATAGAAATTCAATTAAATCTTAATTTCAACTTAAAATTTATTAAAAATTAATATATTAATAAATATAATTAATTTATATATATATACATATATATAAATTTATATAAATTTTAAAATTAAATTAAAATGTTTGTATGTTTATATATACATATA